TGCATGTTTGGTCTTCAGCTTGCCACTGTTGGAAGGTGGTGGGATCTTTAAATGGTGGGACTCACTGGGAGGTCCTCAGTATTGGGGGTGTGCCCTCCAAGGAGACTGGAAAGTTGGTCTCTTTTGATCTCTTTCTCTCCCTCATTCCCCAGCCACCATGAGAGGAGCAGCTTCCTGACATTCTGATTGTAATTTATGTTTTCCCACCCTATGATCTCTTCCCTATTTTTCAGCCTACTAGTTTTAGTCTCATTATCTGGCTCTGCTCCTGTTTTCCACCTACCAGATCCTCCTAGCCAAGCACAAGCACATTCCTGTCCCCACCTGCAGTCTTCAGAGTATAGGCTGGTTATGTTGTAAATGGACTGTGGGTGGTAATTGGCTGAAAACCAAAGAAAACCAAAGAAGTTTAGGTATGAACTTAGGAACAAATTAAAGAGTCAGCGCATTGACAGAAACCTGAATCTGGCAATCTGGTATTATGGAAACAAAACTCAGGACTTGAATGCTGCTAGCTACTATCCAAATAGGAACTAGGTCCAGAGTGTGTCTTTACACTGGGAAGGGGCAGCCTACTGGCAAATCCTAAAATAGGTAGAGTTGAACAGATAGCAGACAAGGAAGTTGGAGGTGAGTAACAACTGATATAGATTACCCAGCCTCTGGGAACATTGGTGTCTTAGTCTGTTTGAAGTTGCTATAACAATGCAAGAGACCAGATAATAAGGAAAGGAAATTTATTTCTCACATTTCTGGAGGTTAGGAAGTTCACAATAGAAATGGGAGGTGTGATGGTTGATTGATTGTGTCAACTTGAGTAAGAAATGCCCAACTAGACTGGCTTAGCATAGTTCTGGGTGTGGAAGACGTGCCCTAGGGAGGCTTGTCACCAGAATGGTATAAAAGAGAAACAAAGATGGCTGCTTCACCTTGGACATCGTCTCCTGGCTTCCAGCACCGACCCTTCAGTCTTTCATCACAGATCCTTTGGCCTCCTGATACAGACTCATACGGGACACCACCCTGAGCTCCAGGCCTTCAACTGGATCCTTCAGATCCTCAGTACACAGACCTTTTGCCCTCTTTCACATCTGACTCTGCAGGCAGCCATTGTAAGCCAATCTTGTAAATTCTTATATATTTTTATATCTTGCATTAAATCTGTTTCTCTATAAGCACTGACTGATATAGGAGGGTAAGAGAGCCTGAGACAGCAAAAGAGAAAGAGGTGCGAAACTTGCTTTTATAGCAAGTCCATTCTCACAATAACTAACCCACTCCCACAATATCGACTGTTACTCCGTCATGAAGGCAGAAACCTCATGACCTAACCATTGATCATTAGGGCCCACCTCCCAGCATGGTTGCACTGGGATTGCATTTCCAACACATAAACTTTAGGGAACTCATTCAAACCATAACAATTGGGAAACTGTGAACAAAAATAAACCTTTCGGGCCGGGGATTTAGCTCAGTGGTTTCGTCGCCTGCTGCACAAGCGCAAGGACCCAAGTTCGATCCCTGGTACCAAAACCAAAACAAAACAAAACAAAAAAATAAACCTTTCCTCCCTCAAGTTGTAGGTGTCAGGTATTGTATCCCAGTGATGAGAAAGCAATTAAAACAGACACTAATCCCATTTATGAAGTCTCTGCTCTCTTGGTTTAATCACCTCCCCAGAGCCCCATTTCCTAGAATCACATTGGTGGGCTTTGACATATGAATTCGGGAAGGACACAAACATTAATACCATAGCAACTGCACACCCTATAGTCATCTTCCAGTTTAAGAAAAGTCCTCTGAAATTTTGAATTTTAGATGCTTCCCTTATAGAGTGTACAGTGCAAGATTTGGCTGAGGGTATAGCTCAGAGGTAGAGTACTTGCCTAGCATGCATGAGTCCCTGGGTTCAATCCCTACCACCACAAAGCATACAAGCTGGAAAATCTTTACTTTCCTCAAGTAATAGGTCTATGAATGTTATTAGACAGGGACAGGGTTAGTTTTATTTGATTTTGTTTTGCACTATTTTTTCATTCTTCCAAAACTATATGTACTCCTCTTTAAAAGAAGAACAATAGTCCCTTTTTAGACATTCCATGCCATCTAATTACTATAAACTTTGATCAGACAACCAAATGAAAGAAGATATAATTAAGTAAAAGATATGCACCTCAGCCCAGGTTCCTCCCGGAATCTCTAGGCATGATTGCCAGGACTGATTGACAGGGTGCTGTGTTATTTCAGGGCCTCTCAACATGCATACCTATCCCAGAATTCACTCTGATCTTTTGCATGCATGACATATAGTACATATTTATGAGCCCTTAATGAGGTTTGAGTAGGGTAATGGTGACTAAAGGTCTGGCTAGAAGATCCAATGCACTTGTGCTTTCACACAGAACATCAGAGATCTCCTAAGTTATTGTATGATTTTCAACCTCTCAGGAAAATGGAAGGAGGAATGGACCTAGGATGCTATTTAAAATTAAATGGGTGTAGGGGAGTGACTTCCTTAGCTTCATTGTTTCTAACTGTACTAGAATGGATAGGATTATTCTACCAACTGCCTTTATGAATAGTAGCTCTTCAGCTCTCTTTCCTTCAGTTCTCCTTCTGTACCTCAACTTTCTTTGGTGGATAGGAACTTCTACATGGCCCTCTGGCTTCAGAAGAAATATCAAGTGAAGATCTCCACTTTGTATCTTTAGAGTTCCCAGGGGCTGGCGATTTAGCTCAGTGGTTTGGCCGCCTGCTGTGCAAGCTCAAGGACCCGAGCTCAAGCCTTGGTACAAAAAAAAAAAAAACACCTCAAACACACTAACATTTGGGCCAGGGATTTAGCTCAATGGTTTTGCTGCCTGCTGTGCAAGTGCAAGGACCCGAGTTCGATCCCTGGTCCCCCCCCCCAAAAAAAAGAGTCCCCAATGTTTTGTTTGTTTTGAGATAAGGTCTTGATATATTGTTCAGGCTCACTATGTAGCCCAGGCTGGCCTCAAATTCACAGTCATCCTCCTGATTCAGCCTGCTGAGTGCTGGGATTATAGTGTGTACCACCATGCCTGGCTCAGTCTGAAATTAAGGCCATAGACTAAGTGATCTGGCAGAGAAAATTTCAGTGCAGCCCAACATACAGGGTATGGTATGGGTACTGCTGGCTACGTTTAGTCAGGTTTATAGTATGGACCAAGAGCAAAAAGCTGGAAAAAAATGGAAAAACTTAAATTTTGGCCAGCAGGAACCTTGTGTAAAACTGAGATCAAAGGATATGTGACTGCTAAAGAGATTAATGCTATTAAATGCTATTAAAAAGGAAGTAGGGCCAGAGATTTAGCTCAATGGTGCCACACCTGCCTCCCAAGTGCAAGGTCCTGAGTTTGATCCCAGTACCTGAAAAAAAAAAAAGGAAGCAACCCTCCTGTATCTAACCCCCCTGCCCAGTTTACTGGCAGGCTATAAGTGGTACAGGCTTCTTGCTTCCTCATAATTCAGCTGCATTATATTAGGAGTCCGACTAAAGCCCATGTGACTCATGTGGGCATGTCAGATGGTACACAGGGATGCATAGCCCCTCCCCCCATGGCTTTAGGAGAGGCCTAAATCCTGGTGAGTGAAGCTGCAAGGCTCTATTTGAGATAACACTGTGGTCAAGGACATGTGGTTCCAACTAAATTTCTTTCCTGAATTATGGCGTCCTCCACTGACCTTCGGGGTTACAGGTTAATAACAATCCAGTCTTGGTCTCCCTTTGTTCCTTCTCCAGGAATGCCTTGCCCCCCTTTTTAAGAGCCTTGGGTGTGTTAACTGTTATCCCCAGATGCCTCACACACTATGTCTAGATATCTCACATGCTGGCTGGCTCCAAGTCTGGTTGTTGGCATGGCAGAGGGGCAGTGGGGAGGAGAAACAGTTCATGGCAGGGAGAAAGCAGCAAGGCAGCAAGCAGCAAGCTACAAACAGCAACCCTCTTTCTGTCCCTTATATCTTATCCAGGCTACCCACCCTTAGCCCTGGTAGCACTCACACCCATGGTAGGGCAGCCTTAATCCTACCATCACACAACCTAGATCCAGCCACCTCCAAAAAGCCCCACCTATGACTGCATGTGGCTTTGGGAGGACATCTAGACACAAGGCATAACAGTATGTGATTAAATCATAATAAATAACTAGAGCTGGTTCTGGAAGACCTCCTGGGGCTTGGGGGGGGTGGCTTTCAGAGATACCAAAAGCCCCATTTAAGCTAGACCCATTGAATTGCAACCCTGCTTCTATTTGCTAGCAGTAACTCCTTCTGTAACAGCAACATGCATTTGACAATCTCTGCCTGGGAAGGTTGTGATTTTTGTGACTTGGTAACCCAGGCTAGCACCAAACTCGAGATCCTCTTGCTTCAGACTCTTGAGTGCTGGGCATACAGGTTTCCACCACCACATCTGGCTGATTGTTCCAATTTTTATTTGTTTGTTTTTTGATACAGGGTCTCACGATTTAGTTCAGCCTGGCCTTGAACCTACCAGGTAGCCTTGGGTGGCCTCAAAAGTGCAGCAATGCTCCTTCTTCAGCCTTCTAAATGCTAGGATTATAGGCGTTCGAGACTCCACCCAGCTTGTGACTTTTAAAAACCTGCATTACATTAATAATGAGAAGCTTAGGATGCCTAGTTGACACCCCATACATACTACCGCGCATGAGGACAGTAATGAAATCTATACAGTCGAATACGAGGCAGTTCACTGAAGAGGTTGTGAGAAAACCCGAGCAGGAGATACGATGGTGTCGGGTCCGTTGCAGTGGTCTCACCCTTTATCTCTCAGACTCTAAGACAGTGGGGAGTGGCGTAGCCCACGAACCCCGGAGTTCATAAGTGCGGCAATCCCCGAGGCCGGCCGAGAAGGGATTGCGGCCCAGGACAAGCCCGCCCCGCCCAACAGAGAGCCGGTACTCAGCAGGACCCGCCGGGGCGGGGCGCCCGGGGACTGCGACCCAACGCGCACGGCCAGCCAGCGGAGAACAATGCGCTCGGCCCTTCTCCGCGGGGAGTGGCCGGCCGCACCCGGGTGGCCTAGATGCCTGCCGGGAGATGTAGTGTGCCGGGCCCTTCGCGTCACGCCCCGCCCGCTGGCCAGCGGCGCGCGCGCAACCACAAGTCCCGTCACGCCCCGCGCGGTTGGAGCATCCGGCTCTCGCCAGGGAGGGAGTGCAGCGAACATGGCTGAAGACAGTCGTGGCGGCTTAGCGTGCGGCCGGGCTGGCGGCCCGCAATACCTGGCCCACACCCCCAGCCGCCGCAACTTCCCAGAGTACGAGCTTCCCGAGCTGAGCACTTGCGTGTTCCACGTGGGCGCCTTCGGGGAGCTGTGGCGGGGCCGGCTGCGCGGGGCCGCGGACCTGTCTCTGAGGGATCCCTCAGCACCCGCGCTGTCCGGGAACCCAGGGGTCGCGGACTCCGGTCGGGACCATGTCGCAGTGGCCAGGGATCTGGGCTGCAGTCTGGAGGCAGCGGCCGAGCTGAGCACGGTGTGCAGGTGAGTGCAGGCCCAGGCGCCGGCAGCTTGGCCGGAAGGGTGCCGCTCGTCCAGCTCTCCCCGCATCTCGCCCTGGCGGGGCCTGTGCCTCACACTCCGGTTCGGGCCGCTCTTTCCAGCCGCTCGCTCCGCCGGAGAAGTCCTAGGATCCAACGCACAATTCCTGCGAGTGAAAGGGACCAGACAGCTGCATAAGAGACTAATTTTTCCGTTCGTTATTTTCTAAGATGCATGTTAATAAAGAAAAGCGGCGGGGAACAGCGACGAAAATCTGCCACTGACAGGCACTTTGATAATGGAGAACCTGAGTAATGAAGCTGCAGGGCACTTAATCCGAGAAGCATTAAAACCTTGATTAACTATGGTCTCTTTAGGGGCCCTCCGAGTATGCTATTACTGAGAATTTCCTCCAAAATGCCCCATTTGCGGTGAAAGCATAAAAATAACTTTGATCTTTCACCATTTAACTGCACTAGCCGCTTTCAATTGGCCATAAAAATTATCTGTACAGAATCATTGCCTTGTATTTTCTCAAAGTAGCCTACTGGGTTTTGTCTGACTTCTTAGTGACTCAGTGGTGTATTCCGGACACAGCTTGTACTCTGTGGACAAGATGTATGGCTGACCTTAAGATACTGTTTTCCCACTTTCTGTTTTAGCCTCGATAAACTGAAATGCCTTGAGGAAGGTGAAGATCCAGAAGTCATCCCAGAGGATACTGATCTGGTGACTTTGAGGTATGGATGACTTTGCTTTGGTCATATATTACTCATTTATTTATTTTTGTTGTTGTTGTTTTGAGACAGGGTCTCACCAAGCAGTTCAGGCTGGTCTTGAACTCACTTTGTAGCCCAGGCTGGCCTCAAACTTGTGGTGATCCTCCTTCCTCAGCCTCCCCAGTGCTGGGATCACAGGCCTGCACCACCAATCCCTGCTAGTTGTATATTACTTACTTAATTAATTTAATTTTTGGTGCTGGGATTGAAACCAGCGCCCTGTACACGCTAAGCACTTCACCACCACTGAGCTACATTGCCAGCCCTTGTGGTATTTGTTTAAACTTGGTTTTGAACATTATAGTTTGAAAAGTTGAAAGTACAGTATTCTTATCCATATGCCCACCACCCCTTCAATTCAACTATTGTTAATATTTGGCCTTATTTGGCTTATCTGGATGAGTATTAGATGCAACTGTGTCTTTTTTTTCTTGCTATACTCTTCAGTAAATTGCAAGCATAACAATTTACTCCTAAGTACTCCAATATACAGCTCCTAAAAGTGCTTTGCTGCATAGTAAGAATGGTATTACTAGACATAAGAAAATTAAATATTTTCAACCTCTGGTATCCAATCCATATTCAAATTTGTGCTTACATTTTTGGGGAGAGGGGTTACTAAGGATTGAACCCAAGGTCTTTGCATAAAGTACATTTCCAGCCCTTTTTATTTTTATTTTTGGTATCGGGGATCAAACTCAGGACCTTACACTTGCAAGGCAGGCGAAATGCTACTGAGCTAAATCCCGGGCCATTTGTTGTTTATTTTGAGACAGGGTCTTGCTAAGTCATTAAATTGTCCAGGCTGGACTTGAACTTGCTGTCCTCCTGCTCAGTCTCCCAGAGTGCTGGGATTATAGGCGTATGCCACCATGCCTGGCTTGTGTTTACTTTTGAATATTTACACAGGTAGAGTTAATCTGCTTAGATTTGGGGTGAAAGCTAAATATTCTGATAGTGTTTCTCAGTATATGGGAAAGAATCAGTTGCTTTTGTTCTTTTTAATTTTTAATCGACAGTTCCATATTTTTGTACAATAATATAAAATTGAATTACTAGAAAAAGCGGAATTTTAAAAAGACAGTGTAAGTCCAAATATTTTGTTGTTATGAAATTCAACAGGCATAAGATATTGTCAATTTATAAAGAAAGTTTCTAAATGCTTACTCTCATTTTTTGCGAATATTGGATAACAAATAGCTCATAGATCAATACTAGTCTGCCAGCCACATTTTGAGAAGGGTTGCTGTATGGTAGTATTTGCTTTCTTTTTTCTGTACCAGGGATCGAACTCAGGTCCTTGCACGTGTGGGTCAGGCGATGAAACCACTGAGCTAAATCCCCAGCCCAACTGTATGGTAGTATTATAGAGAAATTATGTATATAGTAATGAAATATATAACTTCCACTTTACAGTCTACTGATTTTATATGACCTGAGTTGTGTTCTGTCATCCTTGATCCTACCCTTTCTCCTGTCCCCTTCAACTATTCAGGCAGTCATCTCAATGTGACCTTGGTTTTCTTTTGTAACAACTACTGAAATTGTTCCTGATTTCCACTGTAAACATTAACATTAGCAACACCTTGAGTGCTATGAAAAGCTCCTGTCTTCCTAAGTCCAATCTTTCCCTTTCTAATTTATCTATAATGTAATTGTTTGAGTATATTTTGTTTAGAAATTGTCAGTGAGTACATCTCCTGTTTGGAAGAATTTCAAACTTTTTAGGGAGGCCTTTTTTTTTTGGTAGGGAGACTTTCGAAGCCCCCTACATATATCCCAAGTATGCTTTTCCAGATTGATTTTCAACCACTTTCTCTTTCAAGTGTCTCAGAATATGCATGTACTCTGTACCATCTGAAACCTTCCCCATCTTTAAGCTCTTAAGATTGCTTTCCAGATTACCCTTAGGAAAGAGGCTCACTGATATTGCCTTCAGCTCTAACATGTCTAAAGTTTTGGTAGGCTCACTGAAAGTCCATACTCCTTGCTCTGAAGTCTACTGTAGTGCCTTAGCTCAACTACCCCCCCGCCCAGTACTGGGAATCGAACTCAGGACCTTGCCATTGCCGGTCAGGTGCAGCACCACTGAGCTACATCCCCAGCCTATCAATTGGTGCTTTGTAACTGTTGTTGATTAGTTGGATTTGCTTAAGATGTAAATCTGATTTTGTTACTTTCTTGCCTAAAATCCTCTAATATCTCTTTCACTAAAGTCCTGAGTCCTTAAGTGGCTCACAAAGGCCTCTGTGGATGGATTTTGTTAATGATTTTAGCTTTGTCTCTGAAGTGGTCCAGCCATACTGCACTCTGTTTCAGTTCCTGGAATGTGTTTCCCACTCCAGTTGTTTATCTGGCATACTCTTATTCTCCTGCCTTCCTATCCTTCAAGGCTTAGCTAAAGGATGAAGGATTCCATTTAGGTTCCTTGTGTGTTCATATAGCAACCCCCTGCTTCTCTGTTAAAATACTTACCACATTTATAATATGCTTTAAAGGTTTTATATCTTCCTTATGCTTGGAAGTTCTACAGCTGGGCATGGTAGCTCACACTGTAATCCTAGCACATGGAATGTTGAGACTTAGAGGAATTTGAGGATAGTGTGGGCTTCGCATTGAGACTGTCTCTAAACAACAGCAAAAAGTTTTCCCTAAGTGGGGATAGGGATGTAGCTAAGTGGTAGAGCACATGCTTAACCTGCTCATTTCGCTGGGTTCAGTCTCCAGCACTAAGAAAAAAGTCCCATAAGCTGTATCTGTTACACTTAACTGCTAGAACCCCAGTTCCTAGAACTATGGCACATAATAGGGAGCCAATAATTTGTAGAATGAGTGGAATAAATGAAACTTTTGTAAGACTTAAGAAAGTGGTTTTTAGAGAGAGACTAACAAAAAAGGTAATATGCACTTCCCCCTGACTGCTTTCTACTCCTTGGTTAGTCAAATCTCCTTGGTTGTCTTCTAATCTTTCCAAATTTAGGATATGTGGAACAAATTGTATGTATATATTCCAATGTAAAACAAGTCACTGGTGTATTTCCTCAGCTGGGATTATTTTGATGTACTGTGAACCAATTAGATTTATTTTTTTGATTTTTTTTTTTTTGGTACCGGGGATCGAACTCGGGTCCTTGCGCTTGCGAAGCAGGCAGTGGAACCACTGAGCTAAATCCCCAGCCAAGATTTAAAATGTGATTTACTATTAATAATTTGGTAAAACATTAGACTTGTGGCAGTAGCCTAAATTTATATCTCCATGCTTTTTCTTTCTCTGCCTCTGTCTAAAGGAGCTACTTGACTCACGTATGGAAAGGAAAAGAAAGGTGGTCGTTGAATACTGATTCTTTGGTACATACCACTCTCCTTACTTCATAGCAAACTAGATAACTGATTCAACACTTGAAATTTCTTGATCCTGGGACTCATAGTAAATTTTTTTAATAGTAAATTGTTAACAACTGTGCATAATACTAAACCCTTATACCTGTTTCCCAAAAGCTTTAGCTCCCTTACTTTTAATGTATAGCAATTTTAGTTAGATTATTTTGCTCATTCTACTCATTTCTGTAGCCAAGTAAAAGAGAACTACAAAATTAGAGAATTCACAACTCTCTTTTTGTTTTTGTTTTTTTTGTACCGGGGATCGAATTCAGGACCTTGTGCTTTTGAGGCAGGCACTGGAACCACTGAGCTAAATCCCTGGCCCCACAATTCTTTGGTACTGGGAACTGAACTTGGGTCCTTGTGCTTGTGCAGCAGGCAGTGAAACCACTGAGCTAAATCCCTGACCCCCACAATTCTTATCTCATAATGAAAACTCCACAGTTTTTTAAAAAACTAAACTCTTAATACTGTATCTGGACTTTGCTAGAATGACAGAGTACCATAAATTGAAAATCTTGTAACTTACTACCACCACACCCAAGTATCACGATAATAAACAAGTGAAAATAAAATCCAAGGAGAACTTATTGCAGAAAACTAGGAAGCAACTGTTTATACAGATCAGCTTGGAAGACTATTTCCCTGCCCCCAGAAAATAACCAGGAAACAAGGAAATTATGTTTATACTCCAGACAGAATTGACTATAGGCAAACAAACATTTGAGGGTATAAGAACACCTTGAATTAGAAATTTTAAAACAAACTGGAAACGAATAATAGGAGAAATGAAAATAAAATTGATGGAATGTAGGAAAGAACTAGGAAAAAAGAAAATTATACATGAATAAATTATAAGATAGATTCAAATGGAAATTTAATAGGCAGTGAAAGAAGGCATGAAGATAACTAAAAGAATTGAAAGTGACATAAAAAAGTAAAATGAGAGAAAGTATTTGGAATGGAAAACAGGAAAAGAAGATACAATATTCATATTTGGAGTCCCTCAATAAGGAAAATGAAGAAGTAGAACTGAATTAATACTTTAAAATGCAATCAAGTTTCCAAAGCTAGATGTGGTGGTGCATGCCTTTAATCCCAGCACTTGGGAGGCTGAGGCAAGAGGATTGCCACAGTTCTAGGTCAGCCTGAACTATGTAGGGAGACCCTGTCAAAAAAAAATTCTAGAAGTAGAAAAAACTAAATCTAAAACTCAGAAGGCTCCCTGGGTACCTGCAAAAATGAACAGACTTTTCTACTCTGAGATATAGCTTAATGAAGCTGTCATATTTCAGAAATAAAGGTGAAGTCATCCAGGCTTTGAAGCAGAAAGAATAGATAACCTAAAGAAAAATTTACACAAAGTATTGTTGCAAAGCTGGCATACAAAGCAGGGCTACAATGTAGCATCATCTTTTAGAAAACTCAATGAGGTACCAAAAAAAAACAACAACAAAAAAAAGAAAACTCAATGAAAGTGTCAACAAGGATTTTATATCCAGTTGACATATCCTTCAGATATCAAAGCTATAGGAAAAAACAACACCTTTAAACATGCAAGAAAATGTGGGATAATTCCTGCACCTGCCACCATTTCTGAGGGAAGACTAGAGGGTGAACTTCATTCAACCAATTGATGGCTCTGAAATTTCTAGCACACCATCTTAAGGTACAAAGGTTGTATGTTATAACAAAGTAATATTACAGCTAAAAAGATGGGAGGAGAATTTGTAGGCAGTCGGAGGGTTTTAAATAATAACCCTGGCAAACTAGATAGTAAAAAAGTAAAATAAGAAAGTGGCTTTTGGGCATCGTGGCTTATGCCTGGAATCTCAGCACTCTGGGAGGCTGAGGCAGGAGGCTTACAAGTTCAAGCCTAGCTTGGGCTGTTTAGCAGTTAGACCTTGTCTCAAAATAATAAAAAAATTTAAAAAGTTTTGGGAATGTAGTTCATTGTGAAGGCCTTACGTTCAATCCCCAGTACCATAAAACAAAGGGTAAATAAGGGCATTAAAAAACAATAATAACAACAGAATAACCACCAGAACAAAAAGAAGAATAACCAATCCTCCCTTCCAACTAATCTTCACCTCCAACTTCTTTTTTTGAGACAGGGTCTCACTATTTTTTTGAAAAAGCTTTGGGAAACAGGTGCTTTCAGATATCACTAATGAGACTGTAAACCCTGTCTTGGGGAAATTTGGTAATAGGTAATAAAAAACTGCATATACAATTACCTCTTCACTCGGCACTCCCATTTGTAGCAGTCTGCACTTCTCCAGTAAGAAAAGTAAGAGCTTATTCCTTGCAGTAGTGTTTGCAGCTGGAAACCATTTGAAAATTCACATACATAGAGTAGTGAAACACTGGGAAATCCACACAGTAGAATATCCTGTAGCTATAACAAAGTATGAGGAAAGGTGAACACAGAGAGAGTGACTTCCCTGACGTAGTAAAGTAAGCAGAGTCCCAAAGCACATGCTAGCTTTCATGTAAAAAAGAAGTTAGTGGGCCGGGGATTTAGCTCAGTGGTTCTGGCGCCTGCTGCACAAACGCAAGGTCCCAAGTCCAATCCCTGCTATCAAAAAAAAGTTAGGCTAGCTATAATTCATTGACTTTCATCTACAAATTTGCCATTTTGTAAAAATGGACCTCGAGTCTAGATATTTTTCCTTGGCCAGTTGGCACGTTGTTAGCTGTGCGGGTGAAGGCCAATGGAGAGACCTAGCAGTGCAGGGAGGGGTTTGTGTTTCCTGGCCTGACAGGCTGGCTCTGCAGTCCGCAGACTCTGCACCCAGCACCTTTCCCACCACCTGCTCCTCTGAACAGCTTTTCTGGGTGCTAGTTCCACTGATACAGCACCTGGCAACTTTTCTATCACTGAGTCAGCCAGGCTCTTCCAGAACTAAAACTCAGTCCTGGGAAGAGAATGGATAGACTTCCTTGAGCATTTTCCCGTAGGGGTAGGATGAACCTTATCATAGGTTATTTCTCTTTCATCCCTGAGCTAGATCTCCAGCCACTTTTTTTTGTTTTGGAGACAGATCTCACTGTTTAGTTAAAATTGGCCTTGAAATCACCATTGTAGCCCAGGCTGGCCTGAATTTGTGGTGGTCCTGCCTCACCCTTCCAAGTGTTGGGAATAGAGGCGTGTGTCACCACACCTCTCTCCCTCCCCCCCAATATATATATGTGTGTGTATGTGTGTATGTGTGTAATTTTTAATTAGGGCTCCCTAATTTTCCCAGATGGACTTGAACTTTTCATCTTGTTACACCCTTCCAGAGTGCTGGGATTACAGGTGTGTGCCATCATGCCCAGCTTCCTTTACTTCTCTGCTAATGCTACATTACTCTAGTCCTCTGTTAAAATGAGTAATACTTTAGATCAAGCTTTCTCTGTTAAAATTACTGTTCAGTGTTTTCCTCCTAATTGAACTCAGACTGATAACAGAAGGGGGTAAAATACACAGATATCTGTATTATTTGAATAAAAGAAGTGAAGGATAAAGCAGAAGTATAGTGATTGGCTGACTGTGGGGTGGGGGGCAGTGAGTGGGAACAGGTAGGAAGAAGGGAGGGAACTGGAACAAGTTAGTAGGGACCAAGAGCAGGATACTTTAGACTCTTTAGAGCCCGAGTAATGTTGTGCACATCTTCCACGTACTCTAAAACTAATCAGACAAAATCAACCAGCATGTGTGTAGGGGAACTGAAAATATCATACAAAAACTAATAAATGAGGGGTGGGGATGTAGCGCAGAAGAGAATGTGTGCTTAGCATGCTTGAGGCCCTGAATTTGATCCCCAGCACAGGAACTGGCAGCTGCCTCAGTGTAGGGGTCATGGTGGGGACTAACAGATGAGCCTGTGTATTACAAATGAATGACAGTACCCTGAAGAGGATGGAAAGAAGGAACTAACCTAAGTCTAGATAAGCATGTCTTGATAATAATGTTGTAAGGCTGAAGACTAAAAGAATTCTTCATAAGTTGGTATTCCTCACAGGAGTATAGGTTAGCAACTGTGCGACTGGTTTTATGTATTTTCTAGAATTGAACAATTAAAGTTGCCAGTCATACGAAAGTTGGGTTTCTCATTTGTGGAAAAAGAAGTTATAAACAAGGGAAAGGTTGAAGGCGTCAGTTGAATCCTGTGATTTTAGTTTGAGATTAGAAGTACCAATATAAACTCATTTTAAATATATAATAAAAATACAGATATTTGCACATACATGGGCTAGCATACGTATGTATATTTCCTGCCTTTCTTGGCTGAGAGGTGTAGAAGCAATGACCACAATAATGAGAGTACCTAGCACCCAGACACTGGTCTCTAAATACCCCTCTCCAGTAAAGGAACTAGTTGACTCCAAGTTCAAAACAGGAAAAATACAGGATGAACCTTGGACATTTTGTGGTTCCAAAAGTAAGGAAATGCTCAAAAGTAAAATGAGGTCCTATTGAATGAACAGAAGCCAACCTGAAGGAACTCCTAATGACCAAAGCTGGGATAGTATGAGGAACAAAATCATGTTTATTTAACTCATAGAGTAGAGTATGTATCTGTGGGTTTGTACTAACATAAATGGTAAAGTAAATAAACAGGTAGAGAAGGTCTTCCTCATAATAGAATTCCAGTGAATAAATGGAGGAGGAGGGAGATAGAGAATCATCATTAGGCATATACCATAGTAATGTTGAAGACAAAATTCCTGGGTGAAAAGTTTGAGGAGAAACGAGACTTTCCTTGTCTCGGTGTTATCTCCCCTAAAGTATTTTCACATTTAGATAGAAGAAAGTATTGTTTAGTGGGCAAACCTGTTGGACAGAAACTTAATTTAACTTAACAGGAACTTAACATATTAACATCTCATGAACCTCTCAAAATCCTTAATGAGAAGGAAAACATTCTTGTGGTATTCTTGCTACAAATGCCAAGTTTACTCCAGTCATGAGTAAACCAAAATGAAACCCAAATTAAGGGACATTCTACAAACTGATGAGAGCTTTTCCAGTGTCAAGAACTTGAAACACAGGTAGCCTGGGGAACTGTGACAGATTGGAGAGTATAAAGGAAAAATAAGCTCAAGATTAAAAAAAGGCATTAAATTAAAAATTGTATTCATGTTAATTTCCTCTTCTTAATCTGCGATAATATAGGATGTTAATTTAAGGAAAATTGGGCAAGAGATAAAATATATATCTTTGTATTAGTTTTTCAACTTTAATATATAATATATAAAATATGTATGTTATAAATATATGTTATTAATATATTTTGATATATATTAATATATAATATATATCTTTGTATTAGTTTTTCAACTTTAATCCTACAATTGGTCTGAAATGAAAAGTTAAATATTAAAGATGTTAAATATTTGAAGCCCCAGGAAAGAATGTCCAACTTTGATTTTTCATGTGTCTTCAACAGGGCTAGAAAAAGGTTCTTAGAACATCGAGAAGAAACCATAACGATAGATCGTGCCTGCAGACAAGAAACATTTGCTTATGAGATGGTAAGATTCTCGTGTTTCACCCTTGTTTTCCATGAAGCAGTAAACTCTGTTATTGGCTGTTAGTGATAATTGTGTGGTAGCTTATATTAGATATGCTTAGTTGAAAAAGAAACTGCTGGGACTGGGAACTAGTTAGAGAAAAGGACCCACAGAACTCACGGCACCATGTATTTGATTCACCTCTGCTCTATTTTGGTTTTAGTTTGGTCTTACCCTCTCAGTATTAGGCTGTGTTTATGTTTTCTGGCCTCCCTGTTCCTGATCTTTTTGTTCTGCTCTTGATTTTTTTTTTTTTTTG